GGAGGGAATGGAGGGGGGCAACGGGGAAGGCCGCACGTTGATGATGTGCTGGGGGGAAGAGGAGCGCGCGGGGAAAGTAGAGCGTGTGGAGGAAGCAGAGCGCATGGGGGGGGGAAAGGATGGCGATGATGATGATGATGACGACACCGAAGAAAACAATGAGGATGATAATGATGAAGATGATGGGGGACGGGAGGGGGGAGGGGAGGGGGGAGAATCGAATTGATTTCTATTTCGAATTGAAATCGATTTGATTTTGGGATTGAAATCGAATTGATTTCAATCTCGAGGATCAATACGATTTTGATTTTTAAAAATCGAAATCGTCCGGATTTTTCGAAATCTATGTCTAATTTCAGCTAAGTAGCAAATCCGGTTATCCGGCAGACCAAGTTTATCCGGAATTTTCAAACCGGACGAAATTTCCGGATTGTTTCCGGATATGGAAAATCCGGCCCTGCGCAAATTAATTTTTTTTTACCGAAATTTGTTTTTTCGAAAAACTCTGGAAAAAAATTATGTTGTTCATATCAATGATATGAACAACTTTTGGCTTAAGGCCATCTTTGATTACTCAACAGATATGAAGATAAAAAATAAAACAGAACAAGAAAATAATATTTAGATAAAAAATTATAGAATGAATTTGGCATCCCCCCTCTAAAAAAAGGAAGGGACAACGAAAAAAAAAAAAAACACCGAAGGAACAAACGACGAACAAGAAAAGAAAAAAAGTGTTGTCGAGGAAGAAAAAAAGAAAAAAAAGAAGAATGAGGAAAACAAAAAATAATTACATACCTGCGCCTTATCATCTATGTTTCAGAATCGGTTATGATGTGGCAGCGACGACGATGACGTGGCAACGATGATGATGAAGTGGCAATGTCGACGTTGAAGATGACGGCGACAGGGATGACGTGGCAAGGTCGATGACGAAGATGATGATGGTGATGATGGCATAGCGTCGTTGAAGCTGCTCTACATCAATCAGGGCGGGTAAGAGGGCGATCGACGCCGCTTCGATACCAGTGTGACGAGGCAGAGGTAGAGCAGCGAGGCTGGGAGAGAGAGGGAGAGTGAGAGCACACACACACCCTCACTCAACTCGACTCAGACTCGACACGGTTCGGCAAACATAGACACGAAGGTGCAAAAGTCGCAAAGTCGCAGTCGTAAATCCTCGAACACAACGTTGAAGCAAAGTCGCACTGAACACAAACACTGAGGCTGAAAACTTTGTGCCTGTATTATGCTTGAGTCCGTACTTAAGTACCGGACTAAGTACGGTCATTCGGGCGAAAGTGAAAATGCCTTAGGGCCAGAACTTAAAATCGAAAGTCTGAGAGTGGGCGCCAAAATGCCAGATGGTGCCAAGTGTCTGAAATCTGAAAGTCGAAAAAGGAGGAATTTGAAGACAGGCGCCATGATGCGGATGGCGCCAACTGTTCGAAATCGGAAAAGCAAAAAACAAGTAAAAAAAAAAAAGAAAATCATAAAAGAAAACAAGATATTCACAAAAAGAAAAACAGAAAATAAATACAGCAAGCTGGAGTGTGGTAATCTGCAGACGAGGGATCGAGCCCTAGTGGAGTCCGTAACAGTCACACTTTGCTTTGTGTGGAGATAGTTCCAATGACAGAAAAATAGCCTGCAGAAACGTAGGTTTGGGGGACAAATCCCTTTTCTCCCGTAGTGTCGCATACCGTAAAGGTGCAGACCAGAACAAAAACCGGCCTCTCTCACATAGTACAAGATAGCGCAGCGGAATGCTAATATACCAATCAGACCAATCAATGTCGCAATGCAGACCAAACATACATGATCATCATTCCATGGTGTGAAAGGGGTTGGCGCTCACACAGGACGAGTGCGCCAGTCCCCAGCCATACACAGAACAAGAAGAGGGGGTTAAACGAGGAAGAGGTAAAGATGGGAATGTCGTCAACACCAAGTTTTCAGTACAGGTCACAAATAATCCCTCGTCCAATGTCTCAATCCCAATGTCGAGTCTGGATTCAAATGTCGTCAAGTCCCAAACTCACCAATCTCTCTCTCTCTCTCCGAGTCCGCAGATACTGAGAAGGTAGGTAGCGAGAGGGTGAGGGAGAGATGGTGGACTTAGAAGAGGAGGAAGAAGAACTCTCTCTCTCTCTCTATATCTCTCTCTCTCTCTCTCTCTCTCTCTCTCTCTCTCTCTCTCTCTCTCTCTCTCTCTCTCTCTCCGGTACTAACCTATGAGGGTGGCACCTTGTTGCACTGGCAGTTACATCGAAGACGAAGTTGGAGCTATTGCGCCACAGTTAAGTCTCCCTGACCTCTGCCAACCATCTCTCTCTCTCTAACGCTACTCTAGCTCCTAATAGCAACCAGCGCTGAAGACTACTGCTAACACTACTATGACTACTGCTGCAGCGCTCCTCCAGCGTGCTTCTGGTGAATCCTGAAGACTGTCTCCTGCCTCCTGCACGTGAATTGCCTGGGAAGTTCCCGGGAACTACCTCGTGACCACCTGCAGCCTGTAGGGCGGGCCTGTCTTATATAGTGGCCTGTCTGGCTCGTCCAAGAGGCTGCTCTTGCCAATGCCAAAATGTGCCAGACCCTGGCATTGAAGTTCAAACAAAGGTTGTCTTGAAAACAGGCCCAAAATGGTCTGTGCTAAAACCTTGGTCTAGTGCCTAGGTTTCAGGGCAGGTCGACTTTATGAGGGCCTGAAAATGACCGCCATTTTTACGCTTTTAGGATGAGATGACACATGGCATGTAGGCCCTTGTTTTCAGGCTTTTAGGCTGAAACGACACAGGGCCTGTAAGCTGTAGGCCCTTGTTTTCAGGCTTTTAGGCTGAGACGACACTGGTCGGGTCCTGCAGGCCCGTCTGGCTGTGCAGTATGCCACACCCCACCCTCCTCGAAAGACCGAGCTTACCTGTGAGGGCGAAGCTGCCTGTTTGAGGGAGGGACCATGGTTCGGGTGGGAGGGGCAGGTTGTGAAACTTCCTTAGCTAACCTTTGTCGTTCGTAGTGAGCGTAGATCAGCGGTGCGAATGCTTTCAAATCTGCTCCTCAAAAGGCTCAAATCCATCGAGTGTCGTCGGGATCGCATGCTTTGATGGTAACTTTGTACTGTCGAGGCCTGCTTCCATACTTGTGATATGTGATGACGTGGTCAACTTCCTGATGACCATCCATAGATGGAGGGTCTTGCGATCGTTGGCCCGGGAAGTCGTCGCTCTTAGTTGGTGTGTATGTCTCTAGCTTCGAGGCGTGAAAGACTGGATGGACCGTCAGATGCGGGGGAATGTTCATCACAAATGAGGGGCTATCAGGCTCATCGCCCGCGGCTGATGTTACGGGCCATGGTCCAAACCACTTGGGGAGGAGTTTGCGTGAACCGTCCTATTCGAGTGCAAACTCTTCCGCGGAGACCCAAATCAGATCACCGGCGTGGATGGGACATGGCACGAGATGCCTGTTGTCTTGCAGTTGCATGCGGACTTGAGCCTTTTGCATGTTTGCGCGGGCTTGAGCCAGCAATTCCCTATACTTCCGGATGGAAGCGGGAGAGCAAGCGGCGTCTATGTCGGCTGGTCGTGGCAGGAAGATCAGCGACGATATGGCCTTTCCGGCCACTGTGGTGCAACTCGAATGGAGTTACGCCGATCGCTGGATGCAACGAAGTGTTATAGGCGAACTCGATGTCGGGGAGACGGTCAACCCAATCCTTCTGATATGGATGGATGAGCGTACAAAACATCATTTGAGTTGTTTGATGTGCCCGCTTCGTTTGCCCGTCCGTTTGTGGATGCCGAGCCGAACTTGGTTTCATCTTGGTGCCAGATTCCTACATGAGAGAAGTCTAGAATGCCAACATGAAACGCATGTCGTAGTCGCTAACAATGTCTTCCGGTATGCCGTGGCTGCAAATCCAGCCAATGTGCAAGAGGCGCGCAGGTTCGGGAGTCGTGTCATAGTACTTGCAAGGGAGAAACCACGCATACTTACTCAAACAGTCAACGACCGTGAGGATTCCATCGTGCTCGAGGCGGTCGCAGGGAAATGGATCGGTGATATCCATGGCAATGAAGAGGTCGGGTTCCCGTGGGATAAACATCGTGCGCAACTCGCCATAGGGATTGCGATTGCAGGGCTTGCTGAGTCGGCAAACTTTGCAAAAGTCGCAATACCGAGTGTCATTGGTAATGAGGTCGGGCCACCGAAATCGTTGCCGAAGTCGTGCAATAGTGTGGTTGACTCTGAAATGGCCGGTGAGTCATGAGTCATGGTACTCACCGAGAAGGTGAGTCCGAAGACGATGGTCTCATGGGACACACAATAAGTCCTTGCCTCGCGAGTGGAGAAACAAGTACCCGTCGACGATGCGATAATGGTTGGCCGGCGGGTGATCCGAAGATAACTACGCATATAGTGTGGCAAAATCTGGATCGGACTGGTAGCCCTGAATGAAATGTTGTTGAAGTTCCTCGTCGAACGTGAAGGCATGATGTGTCATAGCACAAAGATCGGGTCTTCGTGAGAGTGCATCGGCTGCACGATTGGAGAGGCCGACAAGGTGTTTCGGTGTGAAGTCAAATTGGTTGATGAAGTACATCTATCATCCAATCGTGTTGCTCACCGTATCCTGCGTCTTGTAGTAGGTCAACGGGTTATTGTCAGTGATCCATGTGAACCTATGACGCCCAAGGAGGAAGTGTCGTCAACGCTTGAGAGCCATCATGAACGTGAGTAGCTCCTTTTTCCTCGCATCATCAAGTGAGTTGATGGGAGCCACTTTGTGGCTGAAATACTCCACGGGGTGTCAATCGTCACCGTCGTGTTGTTCCAAGACTGCCCCAATGTCATAGCCAGAAGCGTCAGTTGTCACTCTCGTCGGCAAGGTGGGGTCGTAGATGCTAAGGACGTGTGCCATGAGCATGGTCGTCTTGAGTGCTTGGAATGACCGGCGCGGGTCGTCATCGAATACGAATGGCACCTTTGGCGATTGTAATCTCGTCAATGGCGCTGCAATCCTTGAATACCTGGTGATGAAGCGTTGATAGTAGCCCGCCAATCCCATGAATGAGCGAACGTCTGTGGTGTTGGGGGGCTCGGGCCATACGCGGATGGCCTCAATCTTGTCCGCAAGCAGACGGATGCCTTGCAGCGTCACATAATTTCCCAAGTACTCCAACTCTTGCCGCGCGAATTTGTATTTGCCGCGGTTGACTTTGTACTTGACTTGCCGTAGCGGCTCCAAAACGGTGCCTATGTGCTTCACATGCTCGTCCAAACTCCGGTTGTACACCAAGATGTTGTCGAGGTAGATGAGTACGAATCTATTAAACGCGGTCTTGTAGCGGTCCTCCTGCCGGATCTCGAGTTGGTGATATCCCGATTTGAGGTCAGGCTTGGAGAAGAACTTGGCGCCGCCCAGCCGTTCGAGAAGGTCGTCGATGCATGAGAGAGGGCCGACGTTCTTGACGGTTTGCGCGTTGAGCTTGCGATAATCGGTGCACAACCGCAAATCCATGTTCTTCTTCCGGACGAAGAGAACGGGAGCACAGTATGGCGAAGAGCTAGGCCGAATCCAACCTTTCTCGAGAAGGTCGTCGAGTTGTGCCCGTAGCACACTTAACTCTTCCTCGCTCATGCGGTAGATGCAACCACGCAGAGGTACGGCCCCGACCTGGATGATCTCGTGGCGGATGGGCCGATCTGGTACTATTCCGTGCGGGGCTTCGAACACGTCGCCGTAGGCGTCGAGAAGCTCGGTGATGCGTGGGTCCAGTGATGAGTCCGTCGATGGAATGTCATGGGAAGGTAGGGCGTGGAGAAAACACACCCCCATCTCCTTGATGTCATCCCTCATGATGGAAGCTCGAATGCTTGCGGCGGACAGCACATGGCAACTGATCGAAGGGTGAGGAGGAGGCACCGTGCATGAGACTAGTACTCCGTTCTGATCACGAATATGAACAGTGCGGCGGTAGAAATTCACCGGGTGATCCTCGCTTTGCAGCCATGACATGCCCAAGATCATGCCGAACTGAGTGTCCAAAATGTCGAAGGACACGACCTCACTTGCATGAGGGGTGAAGTACACGGGACGGAATCAATGCACCGGTCGATTGACTTGTGCGTTTGACCGTCGGCCAACGTGACTTGCGTAGGCTGCGACTTCCTCCGAACGCGTGACCCAAGGCTAGCGTGTACCATAAAGTCTTGGCTGATATAGTTGCGAGTAGCTCCACAATCGATCAAAGCGCTGCAGGTCGCCTCTCCGATCTGAATGCGTATGTATAACAATAGTGTGTCGATGTTGTCGTACCATTGTGTCTTAAACTCGCTACTCCGACGTCCATCAACGGAGCTGGTACTGCAGTGTGCAAGTAATCCCGTAATTGTGCCATGAGCACGTTGCAATGCGGTTTCGGCAATCGACCGGTCGGGTGAAGGGGCATCCATTGGAAGTCCGCGAACGTCACAGGGTCGAGCTCTTCAAGTCTTAACCATGTCGTCGAATCCTCGACGAAATTTGGCGACGAAGCTGCCGAATCGGTTGTCGATGGTGGTGAAACCGTGCATGCGGTGGATTGTTGCACGTGGAGTGGCTGGTCCAACGGTGGGACCAAGTGGACAGCGTAATCCTCATGAGTAAGTCGAGGACTCACGGCATTTACATTCTCCCCAGATGTGTAGGAGGCCGCTAGCAAGGCGGTCGAATCTGGCGGAGTGAGAGGTGAAGTCGCCTCACCTCCCACGCAACTCAGTTTCCCGAGTTGATGCAAGGTCGAACATCCTCCTTGCCTTGATCCGGGCATTGGGAGGTCTTGTGCTTGGTGATGTTGCACCAATAGCAGCAGCCATACCGGCTGTGCCACTTGTATTCGGCCTCGGTCAAGTGAAACTTGACCCATTGTACTGGCTGACAATGGCTGTCCATTTCTTGTCGGCGACGATGTTTTCGCCTTCCCTTTGTTACGGGAGTTGTCGTTGCTTCACGGCTGGACGGCGGCCACCCGATCTCCCTCACGTGATGCTTGGGTGGTTGTCGGGTCTTCCACAATGTTGTCCAGTTGGACTGTAGTGACATGCTGCAGACGCAGACCAAATTTTCCCTTCTCCACATAGGCTGGCTGCCACGCTGACTTCTCGTGTGCAGCAGCCCGGTTGGTCTTGATGATCTCTCGCGCCTTGTCGATGATTTCGGTGAAGGTCATGTACTGCTCGCGATCACCGAGTGCCAGGCTCAAGGCAGCAACAGGACCGGTTGTAGAACTTTCGATGCAGATGAGGAAATGGCAATTCAAGGTCGGGTGTTGCCACGATCTTTTGCCACTCCGTGAGCCAGTCACGTGTTGGTGTGTTGCCTTGAGTCATGCTGAAGAGGCGTTTGATGGCGAGCGTCGGGGCGTCGTTAATGATGAACTGCTTCTTCCATAGTATCCTCACATCTGCCCAAGAGATCTTCGTGTGCAGATTGGCGACGCCATGGATGGTTGCCAAGTGGCTGAGCCAGATCTGGCATCCGCACTTTGAGTTAAGGAACAACGGCCCGATGTACGAACGCTTGGGGACGTGATGAATCTGAAGTTCCGTCGTAAAGCCTTCCCACAAGGGGACCGGGTCTTGATGCGTATGGTCGTCAAACGTTTCAATCCGGAATATCGGCATTTTGTACAGCTACGTACTGGTGCTGCCCTCGTTGTCGGGCTGCTGCAGTTGTCGAACTTCGTTCTTCAAGACGTCTAGCTGCTCGCTAATGGTGGCTGGTGCGGCGAAGGTGCTGATGTCGCCTAGCATTTCGACTACATGGTCCACTCGTTGCTCCAACTGGCGGGTTGAGGCTGCACTGCTGGGCTCACCAGCATCTGGTCTTGGTGCTACTTGCTCCAAGTCCTACACGGGAATCAAGTGCCCGTGTAGCGCCCTCGTGCAGATCCTTGTGGTTCTGCACTGCCCGTTGGAGGTTCTCCAGGTCCTGGTGCTGTTTCATCATTTCCTTGTGTTGTTTCTCTAACGCGGACTGCAGGTGGTTACAAGTGTAAACCAACGGGGTCACGAGTTTGGAGAGGAACTCCTTGTGCTGCTCTTCCGGTGTTGTGCCGTCGTTGCCCTCGGATGGTTCAAAGAGTCAGAACTTGAGCTTGTCGACGCTGACAGCTTCGTGCTTGGGCATCTACTTCTGCTTCGGCCTGAAGCTGCTGCTTTTCAGATGCTGTCGCCACTTCAGCCTGTAGGTGGGCAGCCTCGGCTGCCGCCTGGTGCTGTACCTCAGCCTCGATTGCTGCCAGCTGAGCTAGAACCCCCTGATGATACTCGTCAATGGACTCGTTGGCCAGTTGGCCCGACATGCCCAAGGCTGGAACCGTCATGTGGCGAGGCACTGTTGTTACTGTTGACGTGGCATTGTTGCTGACATGACACTGTTGCTGATGTTGCGCTGCTGACGTGGCACTTACCAAACCTGGAATGCAGGTAAAGGGTTGGGTGGGAGGGAAAACGCAGGAAGGTAACCAACCAAACTGTACTTTCCTCCCGGTCCTAATCAACAGACTAAAAAAATAAAATAAAATAAAATAAGAGGATCACACCCCCCCTTTGTTTTTTTTTTGTATATCTATCGATCTGCTATGAGTGAGGCATTTCAGAGGAGTACTATGAGCGAGATCTAGGCAAGGTTCCGCAAAGTTTCGACTTAAAAAAAAAATGCGAACTTGAAAAAAATTGTTTTTTGTGCGAAATAGACTGGAGGTTCCACTTTCAGAGAAGAATATATCCAGTCTGTGAATATGACAACCTCCCAAGTTCGGCTACGTGCTTGCGTTAGCGCCTAGGAATTTTGGCAGTGTATGTAAGGCAAGATCAGAGGAGCGCCATGGCGGAGGTTCCGAGGCGCTGGCGGCTGCGGCTGTGCTGGTTGCTTGCGCCAATGCTGGTTGTTTGTGTGGGCTGGCTGGCTGGCTGGCTGGCGAGCGCTGGCTAGCTAGGGTGCAAGCGTTGGTTGGCGAGCGTGAGCGCCTGCTGGCTGATGCTGGCGTCAGGAGACTGGTTGGCGAGCGCTAATGCCAATCGTCTATGTGAGTGATGGCTGACTGGCTAGCGAGCGCGGGCGACACTTCGAAATAAGGTGGAAGGATTTCTTCAACAAGATGCTTGGCGTTGCTTGCTTGGTGCTGCCTTGCGGGCGGGCTAGCGAGAGCGATGTTGCCGCGAGTGTGTGTCGGGAGGCACGAACGACTTAAAATGGAAGCGTTGTCTTGCGCCCGATTGCCGTAGCAGGCTTGCGGAATCAGGGCGAGACTGTTGGCCAGGTCCATCCATCTGGCTGACAGGATGCGGTAAGCGGGACGACGTTGGGTTGGTGGAGGAGAATGGCATTGTCTGGAGTGCAGGAGCAGCATCAACCACAGCAGCGGCAGATCTTGTCACCAACATCATCATCATCATCATCAACATCAACATCAGCATCGTCATTATCATCATCATTATCATCATCATCTGCATCATCATTATAATCATCATCATCATCATCATCATTGTCAGCATAATATTCGGCGGTCGTGGCCCGTGGGTAATGTTTCGTTGTTTTTTCATTCGTCTTCATCTTCATGCCCTTCCCTCCTCCTTCTTCCCTTACGACTCTCCTCTTTAGTCTACTCTCCTCCTCCATACCTTCCACCTTCATCTCACTAATCTTCTCTTTCTTTCCTCACGCGCTATCTCTTTTCTTTGCTCTCTCTTTCTCGCTGCTTTGTTCTTTGGATTTTTGCGCTCCGCTTCCTGGAAGGAAGAAGGGATAGCGGGACAACGATGGATGAAGTGGCGGGCGGAAGGGTGGGGGAAGGGGCGGGGTATGGAGGATGTTAAAGGAGAGAGACAAAGCGGAGAAGTAGTGGGCGAGAAGCTGGGGGTCCAGGGATGTAGAGAGAATAGGGGATA